TATAACTAAAATTATAGCTTACACAAACTTGTGGAAAAATGTAACCTCATTAGGGAAATAATACCTATAATTTTAATTCTTACTCTATTTTAAATAATTTAAATTAAAATCTTATTAATAGTTATCTAAATCTAATATCCCCAAATTATTTTTTGAATGTGCATGCTTCATCTGCTACCTTAGAGATGGCTTATTTCCCAAAATGTGAATTTTTATTTTTAGATAATTTAATAAAGGAGAAGTCCAGTTTTCTAGTAGAACTTTTGTAAAACACTGAAAGTATTGTTTTAGGTATGATATTTATGATTAAAAATTAATATAGATTTATTGATTTAATTAATTTAATTCATTTATTTAATTAAAATTAAAAATTACTATGAAAAGGAAACTATTAAATGCAGGAATATGCCTTTAAAGATTTATATCCTAATTTTTTTTTAATTGAATGGTAACTATGTACATTAATGCACTTCTGGGGTACAGTGTGGGGTTTTCACATGCAATCTGAAATACTTCCATCAAACTGGTCAACACAGCCTTCATGTTATTTTCTCAGTTATTGTTTTAAAACGTTCACATTCTACTCTTAGAAAGGTTCACTTATACCCCTGTAAGAAAGACCTCAGAAGTGATCCCTCCAATCCCCCTCCCTCCACCCATTCCTTATATCCTAATTTAAATGAATATTATCTAAGTATAGTTTAGTCTGAGACAAAGCTAGATAACGTTTCCTACTTTATTTATTTTATTTTATTTATATATATATTTTTTGAGACAGAGTCTCACTATGTCGCCCTTGGTAGAGTGCTATATGGCACCCTTCCTCTTGGACTTAAGCAATTCTCTTCCTCAGCCCCCCAAGGAGCTAGGACTACAGGCACCCACCGCAACAATAGCCTGGTGGATTTTTTGTTGCGGTTGTCACTGTAGGCCCAGGCCAGGTTCAAACTGGCCAATCTCAGTGCATGTGGCCGGCACCCTAACCACTTTGCTAATTCAGAGTAT